CCAGTGCATATCCTATAGTGCTGAAAGTAGTACTTATAAATGGTAGTATCCACTCTTGGAAACCTTGTACAGGGTCGCTATGGGTCGGAACCGACTCAACGGCACTTAACAACAACATCCTGGTGCTAAGTGCCATCGAGTGGGTTCTGACCTTCAGAAACCCACTGAGGAGCAGTTGGTGGGTTTGAACTGTTGACCTTGCTGTTAGCAGCCCAATGCCACACCAGGAGAATAGTATAGAGCGTAGTAATAAATGAGAGAATGCCTTTAAAATTTCTTTATAAGAATTAGCATGTTCAACTCACCAGCTGCTCCTTGGAAACCCTGGACAGGGTTGCTATGGGTCAGAACTGACTCAATGGCACTTAACAACAAGTGTTGAGAAGATGCGATATTCCAACATCTTGCCTTCTCCTCCATTCCCCTTTCTACTGCTTCGGCCCATGATAAGGCTAATGAAACCACCCCCTGAAAGAAGACTTAAATCTTGTACCAGTTTTAATTTGTCCTAAAGTGCCTGGAAGAGGTTAACTTTTTATATTAATTCCTCATTCAGTTTACCTTTTAAAAATATTTTTTTTCTTTGTCCTTGGGAACTGCCTTACCCCGCTCTAGCTTTAATAGGGTTTGTTATGAAGAGTTTTAGAACTTGGGAGCATAAGTTGGGGTCTTTTTGTCTAGGGGTCTTATGGAAGTAAGGTAGGAAGGAAATAGATTTTTTTTTTTTTCTTTATCAAACTGAAGCATGAACCAAGATTTTAATCAAATTAGTATCCTAAAATTACTGAGTCACATCCCTGGATTGTTGGATTTACTCTGTAAAATCAGTTGATTGGAGTTAATATTCTCTTGCTTAAGTATTTATGTAAACATGATTTTAAGATAAAAACAGCAAAAGGTTACTTTTCTTGGTCATAATTATTCCAAATCAAAAAAGAACATAAATAGGTTTGAGGGATAGTTGCAGAGATTGAATGATGAGTTTTTAATTGATCAGTTTCCTTGTCCATCAGTAGTAGACATGGAGATGCAGATAGATAAATGTGTAGCTCATTAGATAGACCGTTTTCCCTCCGCTTTGTTCCTTGCTCTGCAGTCTCATGGCACAGTCATCTTTCTCTGAGTCACCTGTCATATGTCTCTGGCTTTGATGAAGGGTTGTCTACCAAGAAACGTGGTGGCATAGTGTCTTCTCTGGTTTTGAAAGCCCTTTTTCTTTAAACACTATCCTTGTATGCACTGGTCATTGTCATCTATGCAGAAGGCAGTATGGCTTAGTAAACAGGGAATATTATAGAAGTCAGAACTTGATCACTTCTTTTCCAGATCTGACCTTAACTGGCTGAGCAAGCCTTAATGTATGTGGAAGTGCCTTTAGACTAATAGGTGCTCGATAAATGGCTTCTCATCCTCTTAATTTCTCTGAGCCTTATTATTCATCTGTAAACCAAAGACGGCAGATGAGGTGACCTCTAAGGACACTTTCAGTTCTAAATTCTATGATTATATTCTAAATGTTAGGACAACATGGTGCTTACTGGAAGCACCATTAATGGAATTACCCATCATTTATCTTACAAAGAAAAAGTACATACCAGTAGCAACAGATTAGCCAAGCCTGAAAATGCGACTGTGTGGGTTTTAGCATGTCCATGCTGTCTGGTAGCACTTGTGATGAATATGGATGTCTTCTAAAAATTCCCAGACACCTTGGACTTAACTCAGCCTGCCTTTTTGTTTGGAAGTTGGATATTGCAAACATGTTGCACTTCAATGTAATTCTGAATGCTTGAGATTTAGAATGTAGCTGAAAATAAATTTGTGTTTAATAGCTGTTGGAAAGAGATTATTTTACACACAAAAAATGTTTCCCTCATATCTCTTATCTCTTGTCTACTTCCTCACTCTGGTGACCTTGCCCTGTACATCCCAGAAAAGATTCATAGGAGGTTATCACTCTCAGATTTCATCCCATCTGTCTCTGGTGGTACCCATCAAGTTCCAATTTTATCTTTCTCCTACCTATTTCAGAGGTTGAGGTGTTCTGCTAAGCCTAAACCTCTACAAATCTGAAACAGAAGATCTGATTTCCTGTTAACCCTGCTGGTATCTTGAGCCAACTCTTCTGATTCTTCCTTCTCTTTAAAGACTCATACAAGTTTCCATTCATCCTAATAATATTTTCAGTGGCCCTCCTCACCTCCTCCTCAAGATTCAAGCCAATAGTCCTAGTTCCATTATTTGTTAAATAAAATAGAAGCATTTATGGAGTTGTTTCTCACTTCACATGGCTAAACCATTATGGCTGCTTTTCTTTCACCTCTCTTCAAGTAGCCTTAACCTTATTCTTTATGTGAACTCGTTCAAAATTGGGTAACAGAAATTAAGAGGGTTTTTTTTTTTTCTTTTCTTTTCTTTTTTCTTGTTGGACTTTCCAGTAAATCACATTTCCAGACTTGCTCCAAATTAGGGTAAAGGTTAAGTGAAGTGGAAAAACATGAGGATGAGAGGGGAAATTCAGCTCTGTTGAAACCTTGAATTTATGCATTTCCACCTCAGATTTTATGCTGTTCCATGTTGAGTCCGTTGCTGCACCATGTCAGTTTCTTCACCAGGACGACTGAGTGTCTTTGTGTGGCCCCTGCAATGCTTTGTGTAGCTAACACCCTTTCCAGCAGACAGCATGTGCAGTGCATCTCCACCTGGGCGTTCCAACAGCTTTCAGCACTTTCTCTCCCTTTTGCCTGCTGTCAGCAGAGGAACTTCTCTGACCATCTGCTACTGCATTAGTCAGAGTTTATCAAGTTGTCCACAGGATTTCTCTCCCGAAGCTAAGGGCTTGCTTTGTGTCTCTGGTTTTCTCATTTCTTAGGAAGTTGGTTTTCTTTTTTTTCATTCTGTTCATTTGAACATGGTTTCCAGATACTTCTAACTGCAAAAAACTAACTAATACTTGCCTTTCCTGTTTTGTTGTTGCTAAGGGACATCGAGTCGGTTCTGACTCATAGTGACCCTATGTAGGATTTCTGAGGAGCAGCTGGTGGCTTTGAACTGCCGTCCTTGTGGTTCACACTCCATTGCTGATCCTTTAGCACCATATCAGGAGTCCTGGTGCACAACTGAAGTCTCGCGATAACTAATGAGGAGAATTAGCAAAACCAAAGAACCAAGATTCAGGAAACCCAAACCTTAATCGGCTTTTGTCTCTAGTTTGCTTTGGTGCCCTCAGGCAAATTATAATATCACTTTACATGAACTGCCCGCTTGCTTATCTGTCCTATGTAAATAAAAACATGAACTCTACTTCCTGGGCTTTAGAGAATCACTGTAGATAGTTTATGGAGACATTTCTGGAAAAGTTAAGTATTAAACACATCTGCTATTATTCCTAAGGAGCTCTGGTAGCGTAGTGGTCATGAATTGGGCTGCTAACCTCAAGATTGGCAGTTTGAAACTACCAGCTATTCCGTGGGAGAAAGATGAGGCTTTCAACTCCTGTAAAGATTTGCAGCCTGTGTAGGGTCACTATGTGTTGGAACCAACTCCACAGTACTTAGCAACAACAACAACAACAACTATTATTCCTGGAGTTCTGGAGTGGCATGTAGGATCAGCGCTGGACTACTGACCATCAAGTTGGTGGTTAAAACCCACCAGTTGCTCCTCGGAAACACTACAGTTTCACTATGAGTCAGAACTGACTCAACGACACTAAGCAACTATGACTATTGTTTCTAAGGAGGCCTCGTTACATAGTGGATAATGAGCTGGCCTCTTAACTGCAAGGTCAAAAGTTAGAATCTACCAGCTGCTTTCTGCTCCCATAAAGATGTACAGCCTCAGAAACCCTATGGTAGTGGTGGTGGTGGTGTGCCATGAAGTCGGTTCTGACTCACTGCCACCCTGCATGGAGTTTCAAAGGCTGTAAATGTATATGGGAGCAAAAAGCCTCGTCTTTCTCCCTGTGAAATGATAGAGTCACTCTAAGTTGGAACTGACTCGTTGGCACACGAACATCACCACCACTGCTCTTATTTTTCTGTTAAATGTATTAGTGATAGATATGTATCATATCAGTCTTACTGCCATCTGTATCTTATACCAAGAACTTGGCACCTTAGCATAAAATGAGTACTGGGCATGTACTCAATCTGACTGTTAATATAGTAAGTGTTTGTCCTCCTTGGTGTTTTATAAAGAAGTGCGTTGTGGCCCTGCCTTCATGTTCTTTTGTGGGCAGAATTGGCATCCCGGATTGGTTATTGTTGTTGTTGTTAAGTGCCATCGAGTTGGTTCCGACCCATAGCAACCCTGTATAGGGTTTCTGAGGAGCAGCTATCTGTAATATCTAGGGGACACATCAAATGACTTTACGATCTGACGCATTAACCCACAGTGCCACACCAGGACCATTTCTCTCTTCTCTGTTCTTTGGCAGACTAACAACTTTCTGGTTATGTCGGAGAAAACCACATGGAGGTTTTTCTTTGTATCCAACCCTGCTCAGTAGAGCTACCAAGTAATATCTAGGGGACACATCACTACTGTCGTGCATGCTACATTCAAACATATTGGCTCTATGTGCCTGAGAATGCAAACCTTAGTTCAAGGGACATAACCAGCTTCTTTTATTTCCAAACCCTTTTCCCTTGAGTCAGCAGTATGGTCTCCACTAGAGCAAATGGTAGATTAGCATGGTAGGTTCATTTGCATGCTCGCCAAAGATTTAAATTACAGACATTTTACAAACGTCTAAATTGTTACAGCTCAAGACTCTCTGGTTTCTCAAAAGTACTTTCACATAATTCATTATTGTGAGTATTTGTTATGACTTGATAAGCCCCAGAGCCTTTTTCTGCCACAGAAAATAAATTATTCCCAATAGTAAAAAGGTTTTTTCTTCTCTTTCCTTTTTAAATCTTGAATGGATCCTTGGAATAGCCACATGTCATCACTATGTTTCTCTCTGTTTAATATTGTTTTTCTTCCCTCTTTCTCAGGACGGTCGTCTGCGAGTGAATGACCAGCTGATTGCAGTTAATGGAGAGTCTCTTTTGGGAAAGTCCAACCATGAAGCAATGGAAACGCTTAGGCGATCCATGTCCATGGAAGGAAACATACGAGGGATGATCCAGTTGGTGATTCTGAGGAGGCCAGAGAGACCAGTGGAGGTGATGTCAATCTTAATTCCCTCAGCAGAGTGTCTAAATGGGCCCACTCACTACCTGCAGACTTCCCTCTTAGTACTGGGGCTGGATTTGTTGATTCTTTGACTGAGAAAATATGCACCAGAAGGGAATCTGATGGATTTATGTGGGAACAGGTGTATATTTTATAAGTATATGGAATATATAAAAATGTGCATATAAACAAAGTAATTTATCAAATGCAATGGTTCCTTCTCGTTTTTCTCTTCTCCCACAGAAATTCCTAGAGAGCTGCACTTATTCATAAACATCTTTCCATGGCTTTTGGTTGATGTGCTAACAGTGTCCATCCTAAGGAAGTTCTTAAATCCAATGTGTATAGCGTTTAATGTTTAATGTGAAGATCATTATAATGCAATCAGATTCTAGAATCTTCCCCTAGTATGCACATGGATAATGTAGATCTGGTGTTTGACTCATTTAAAATTTGATCCATTAAGCAAGCTGCTTGCTCTGTCTTATTACATAAATAGTAATCTTATTTTGAAATATTTTATCATAGTTATATGGGAATAGTTTAAATGGAAGCAATAGTTATTTATACATGAAAGGTAAGCAGAAAAGATCCTTAAATATGAATATCCCTAAGCATCATGCTTACATACAAATAACAAACATGAAGTACTCCTAAAATATGTTGTCTTATCACTAAAATTTATATGTGGAGGTCAGAAACACAAATTGATGGTAGTGAGAGTTAAGGAAAAACTCATTGAAACCCACATCATCATATCAGAATATTCTCAAAGAACAGATAATGTTTGCATTACGCAACATTATGTGAAGTCCAAATATAATACTGAGAAAAACACACTAACATAAAATACAAATTTTAGTAACAAATTTGACTTTAAAATCTAAAAATAAAAGTATTCATTGCACCAAGAGTACAAATGGTTAAACATCTGTGTTCTAGAGTTTTGGATTAATTAGAGTCAATTCTGATACATGGTGAGCCCATGTGTGTCAGAGTAGCACTATGTCAGAGATAGATTGCCAGACCTTTCTTCCAAGGAACCTCTGGGGGACTTAACACTTCAAAGTTTTGATTAACAGCCAAGCATGTTAACATTTCCACCACCCAACATCTTTGGAGTTTGGATTGATTGGGCTTGAATTGCAGGTTTGCCATTTTCTAGTAACATACCCACATACATAGTTGAGTTTTGTTGTTGTTAAGTGTCGTCGAGTCGGATCCGACCCATAGCAACCCTATATAGGGTTTCTGAGGAGTGACTAGTGAGCTCGAACCATTGATCTTACAGTTCAAATGGCTTTGCTGTCTGGCGCATTAACCTACAGCACCACACCAGGACTCCATATAGTTGAGTATTTAGTACTTATTTTGCTGTTGTTGTTAAGTATTGTTAAGTTGGTTCTGACTCATAGGAAGTATAGGGTTTCTGAGGAGTGGCTGGTGAGCTTGAACTGCCAACCTTGTGGTTTAAACTATTAACCCGTAGTACTTATGTTGTTGTGCCTTCAAGTCGATTCTGACCCATAGCGACCCTGTGTAGGGTTTCCAAGGCTGTAAATCTTTATGGGAGCAGAAAGCTTCATCTTTCTCTCACGTAACAGCTGGTAGTTTTGAATTGCTGACCGTGAGATTAGCAGCCCGATTCGTAAGCACCATATCTGTATTTTGCTAGATTCAGTAGACAATTAATATCTGTTGGATGAATTCTTAAAAGTTTTATCTGAGACCTACTTCATCTGAGAGGGTAAACTTTCAAACTATATCTCACTTTGTTATATTAGCAGCTATGAGAGGAGAGTAACTGTATCTTTATAGTCTTCTGTACATAACCTTGTGACTGTTAAATAAATGTAAATTGGTCAATTACTGGAGACTATATATAACGAGGAGTCCTGGTGTGGCGCTGTGGGTTAATGCTCCAGACTGCAAAGCCAGCCGTTTGAACTGCAAGGTCAGTGGTTCATGCTCACCAGCTGCTTTTTGGAAAGTCTGTCCAGACTCACTATGGGTCGGAACCGACTCAATGGCACATAACAACAATATTTAACGAATGAATGTAGTTTTCAACACTTGCTTCTGCTTAAGTGGCAGAGACTTCTGTGGACTTTGCTTATGCATACGACTATAAAGCCCTTATCTCTTGCTTCCTATCACCAGAAAATTGGTTCTAGTCTAGTTGAATTTAGTTCTTACTTCAGAGTTTTAGAACTCCTGAATCCATTCTGGGGATAGGACTGTGGAGGTTAGCTTGCGAACCCCAGAGACATCCCTTTTGTTCATCAGCATATTGGATCTCCCCTAAGATTTATTTGAACAGAGACATCTCAGCTGATAGAAAAGTCTACCACTAATAGAAACCTCTGCTCTAGATACAATTCCCATGCAGATAGCAAGGGGGGGGGGAGGGGCAAGAGATCTTAAAACAGTTAGCTCTCATCCTCCCAAATTTAATTTCTTTCTCTAAGTATGTGGGCCTGCCTAGTGGATAGTTGTTATGTATTTTGGCTCATCTATTGGAACATTTTTTCATTTGCATTCTACTTTACTGTAAGAATTTTAGTTTTAATTCTCTCATCCTGGGATTGACAGTTGTTTCGTTTCGTCAGAAGCAAGTACTAAACTTTCTGTTCTTTGCCTATTCTCTGAAGTGTCTTGTTAATTTAGTTCACTGGGGGATCAATCAGGAATATGAATGGGACAAACGAAATTTTATGAGGACATTTAAACAAAAGATCCATCTTTAGTTTCTTTAATATTTGCTTGCTTTCCGCAGGGGCTGAGCAGGCACTTGACTCTCAGTTTTCGAGAATCTCTATGGTACCCGTGCAGATTAAATAACATTTTTTTTTTTTTTATAAAGACAGAAGCTTAATATACAGCTTATCTTTATTAAAGTGGGGAGAAGAAAATCTACAGGTATTTGATCTCCTAAATCTGTGTTTCGTTGTCAGAGCACATGCTGTGTGCTCAAGTTGTTGGTGTATTCTCCTGTGGAGTAGCAGTCACCCTTGGGTACAATAAAAAAGAAAACAGTCCTCAGACCCTAGAAGAAGGTCTCAGCACTAAGCATACATACATTTGGCAAATCAGTTCATTCTGTGTGGCAAGCATACTAAAATGATCCCTTGAATATTATATTGATACGGAAAATTGAAGAAGCTACTTAAAAAAAAGCCGTTTGAATTGTAAGGTTGGCAGTTCAAGCTCACCAGCTTCTCCTCAGAAACCCTATACAGGGTTGCTATGGGTCAGAACTGACTTGATGGCACTTAACAACAACAACTTAAGAAAAGTCAAAATATATAGTTGTTGGGGTTTTGATGAGGACCTCGTGAGGAATACATAATGAACCTTTGATTGAATCAGAATCATTTTAAACAGAAACTTTTTTTTTTTTTCCCAAAGGATGAGCTTGAAGTTCAATTGTAATTCCATTTGTGCTTAGAGACTTGGTATTAAAAATGGGTTATGACCTGTTTTGTTTTGTTTTTTTCCCCCTCCCTTGCCCCAAAACATTTTCCTCCCTGCTGCAGCTCATGTAGAAAGAGAATATGTTTAAAAACTCATTATATTTTGTATTGGCTGGGACACTAATGGAGGGCTCCCTGACAGCTCTATTTTACAGGCTGAATACTTTAATTAGGCTGCTTACTGATCAGTTGTTGGGATATTGATTGTGTCATTTATCAAAGAGCTGGGAAAGCAGAATTTTTGTTGTTGTTTTTCATTCAAAGCACATGACTACAAAGCAAGTCCTACTTCTCCTGCCTGCTGAGGCTCTAGATTTCATGTAGAAGTGGCCTTCCTCTGTGCCAGGTTTTGTTTAGCCTTTGGTACGGAGGCCTTGGGTGTGGAAAGAGTGTTCTAAAACTTGACACAAACTCAAGAGGACCTTCAGCCACTAAAAATGCTTTAATTTTTGAGAATGCATAAGTTGAATGTTTAACTGGCAGGACACAGAGTTTTGTATTTGAAAGAGGAGAGGTAAGAATAAATCCAGGGCACTGATTCCACCGAATGCTTTTCTCCGAAGGAGAGTTGTTTGGGGATCACATTAGTGCTTCCTTTTGTGGCCTTGTTCTTTCCCAAAGCAAACAGGTAAAGGGAGCAGCCTGGAGATTACAAATCACTTACTTCCTTCAAGTCAGCTGGAAAGGCAAATAATACAAGCCAGAGCAAAACCCAGTTCTCTGTGCCTCAATCCTCAATCTTGGAAACGTAGCTAGATATAATCAGCTTGCTCTTAATACCTCTTCAGCATCTCTAGTAGATGGCTTATGAGGGTGTTAGTCTAGATCCAGCATTTAATTAAACTGTGAATTTGTTTGCATACTGTCAGAATCAGAATAGCAGAGGGAAGGAAATATGGAGAGAACGAAAAGATCTCAGGAGAGCAATTGTCTGGTGATGTCACAGTATTTTGTTTTGCCTTTGGCCAGAAGACCCAGTGTCTGCTAGGGACACCCTCATGGCACTTTATGACCAACCTGCTTAGGTTCCTACTTGTCTTAAAGCATATGCACTTAGTAGCCAAGAAAGAAAGAGAGGAACCAGCTGGCTGACAAAGAAACATCCTTGGTATAAAATGTATTTTTGAATTGATGCTGCCACAAGATGTATTCCCAGAGGGGGAACAAATCTGAAAGAAGCCAATTCTAAGTGGGAAAAGAGTAACTAAATTAATCCCATTTCGTGGTGGATATCAACACCTTCAATTCTCAGCACTACATGGCCAGTATTTCTAATTTCATATTCAGTGCTGGTTTAACCAATAGGCCCATTTTGATTTTCCACAGATTAGACCTTATGTTTGATAGACTCCTGAAAAACTGTTCAAAAATACATCACGCCTTACCGTTGCCTCAGTTGACCTAGTGGGGAAGTATTTTAAAAAGTGAATGTAACTTCCATTTCCATCCCATAGGAGCCGCAAGACTGTGGGGCATTTTCCAAGCCATGCTTTGGGAACTGTCAAAACACTGTAACTACAACCAGGAGAAATGGTACTAGCACACCCCATCCGTTTGGCACTTACAGTTCACAAGACAAATGGAGAGGTAAGAGTTAGCCATCTCCTACACTGCAAATGGAGTGAGACACAAAAGCATCTTTTTATTTTAAAAAAAAGTTGGTGGGGGGATAAAAAGGAGTTCATTAGACTAAGTGCAGACTGTGAGGGAATAAGAGAGCTGACTCAGAAGTTGTGAATCAGATTGCTGGCAATGCCCCCAGCTTAAATGACAGCCTCTGTGCTAGCTGCCCCCAATAGGGAAGGCTCTGTAGAAAACTAGCCCTGCCTAGAGAAGCAAAGATGGCAAACCATTGTCACTATTTTTGGGGTGCTCGTTTAACATGGAAAGTTACCAAATATAAATAACTATTAAACCTGAAAACTATGTGCATTAAACCATAAAATGGTGATAACACGATTCAGAGATTTATACCTGACTCTAATCTGAGCGTGGCAAATACCATGAACTGAGACCATTACATGAAGGCTGGAATGTTCTTGTGTTTGACTTGCTACACTGACTTTCTCCTACTTTCTGGTATGGATCAGATTTCTAGTAGAGCTCTGGATGTATAAAACTGGATGGTTTTTCCTGTTGTTGTTTTTTCAGAAATTTTATTCCAGATCACCAAGAAAATAGTTTCATTTCTCTTTATTTCTTTTTTAATAACATATTTTTTTTATATATTGGAAAAGTAATACATATTCAGTAGAAATTTTGAAGGAAAGCAATGAAAAGAAAATTTAATATTACCCATTCTTCTACTACCAAAGGTACTAATCAATGACATTTTTATGTGTATCCTTCAAGTCTTTTCTTTATGCAGATGTGTATGTTTCTAAAAGAATGGAAGTGTACTGTATATATTGCTTTATGAAAATTGATAGTACATTAAGAGCAAGGTGCTAGCTACATCACTGAGAATTCTTCTGCATCACTCTCAGTGGACGTACAGCTTATATTTTATAAAGCAAATTCCTTGCTTTTGGACATTTAAGATGTTGCCAAAATTTCACTACATGGGAGAGATTTCTAAATTCTGAGATTATGCTATCCCAACAGGCTTGCAAATCTGAAGTTGCTCTAGCACTAAATGAGTTTATCACAACTGGGTATTATTTTTTAATCTGAATTCCCTCTATTTTCGTGAGACTCACAGCAACAATTGTTACCATTTATTAAGTGCCTATTTTCTGTTAGATGTTGTGCTTAGCAATTTGCATGTATACTGTTGTTGTTAAGTGGTGTCAAGTCGGTTCTGACTCATAGCAGTTCTGTGTAGAGTTTCTGAGGAGTGGCTGGTGGGTTTGAACCGCTAACTTTACGGTTAGCAGTCCAGTACTTATCCTACAACACCACACCAGGACTCCTATATGCATATTATCTTCATTTCACAAATGAAGAACTAGAGATTATTGAGAGTAAATAATTTATTCAAGGCTGCATATTTGTTATATATACACATCCTGAATGTATCCATTCCTTTGACTAGAATTCACCCCCTAAACCACAACCTAGATATTGTTGTTCCTAAGTACCATCAAGTTGATTCCTACTCATAGCAAATTTGTATAGGGTTTCTGAGGAGTGGCTGATGGGTTTGTACTGCCAATCTTGTGGTTAGCAGTCCAGTGCTTACCCTACAGTGCAATACCAGCACCCTTGGGCATTGTCCTGCATTCATCCCTCAAAACTGTTGAAGTTCTTTCATCTTATCCTGAGAGTATCCACTATTAGAACGTGGCTTTATATGTATATGAAAAAATACTCTATATTTATTCATGTTCCTAATGAAACTAGAGGTTCTTTATATGTATATGAAGATATACTCTATATTTATTCATGTTCCTAATGAAGCTAGAGGTTCTTTTGATAGAAAGAGAGTCTGGGGAAGGAACAGCAAGATTTTGGTTTGTTTTTTTTACTTTTCATTGTGAATTGAGTGCAAGTTTGCAGGGCAGATCATCAGTTTTACATTCAACAAATCATATACTTTGTTTCATTACAATGATTATAATCCCCTCCATGTACCATCAGTTAACAGTATTTCTCTCAATTCATTTTAGCTCTTTTTTTTTTTTTAACACTCAGGCAAATATAATAATTTAAACCACAGAAGGACACATTTTGCGAGCCTGCCTCCTGGCCACCAGCACTCACTCTCTCTCTTTCCATGGATCTAGAGTCCTCAGTTGCTCCCTTTCTCCATGTCCCAATCTCTGCCTCCATCTTTGGTGTCGCTGCTTCTCTGGATAAGGTCCTGCATTCCGCTTGTGCTCTTCTCCCTTGATGGTCCTAGGGTCCTCTGTTTCTGGACTGTAAGATTAAGTACTCCCCTGTTTTGGTTAAAAAACTTTGACCTTTACAATTGTGACAGTTGCAATTAGTCATGATAACAGTTACTCATTACTGAATCATAAGAATCTTTTCCCCATCTCTTTTTACCAGACCCATCTAGACAAGATGAAAACTATAGAGTGAGGACTCTGTGTTCCCCTACACACTCTTACACTAGACTCCCTCTTGAAACCTTGTAAGCCTGTCACTTCATGCTTTTATTGCTCCCTCATTTTAGGTAGCCAATGTCTACGTTGCATACATCTACCCTGTATACAGAGGGGATAGCATTCATACTTGATGTGAAGACCCCTTCCCTCTCTATTGGTATGTAGAGTTACTACATCCATGAGTATAGGTCAAGTTCATCAAATTGTAGCAGTTTGTCCTTGTTTCCTTTATCAAAAATTGTGGGGTTTTTTATTTTTATTTTTTATCCTAGTCAAATTCTGATTATCAAGCCATTGAGGCTAGGTCAAATGGGAACTGTCTGCAAGTTTGTGTGTTCTTGTGCATCTACCCTCACTTCATATCAGCTGGATGTTTCACTCTCAGCTCTAGTCCTCTTTGGCTATGTCCTTGTCCATGGGCTCAGGTGTCCCCAGGTCTCAGCACACTTTGGATCAACCAGCCCTTTCTCTTCTCTCTCTCATTTCCAGGTCAATGGGGGTGGGGGGTGGGGAGTAGGTCTATGGAGCATGGTAGAGCTCAGCCCATTTCTTCATTGTTGCCTTCCCCCTCTTCCACTCACCAGTAGACCAATGTGGTCGCCAGCAAGCTTACATGCCTGCTAATGTGTTCCCTTTGAGTTTCAGTCTTAGAGGCAGGTTTGTCCTGAAGGGACTTGATTGCTTGCCTTGATGGCTTCCCTGCAAACAACTTGTTTAGTCTTATAGTAGTGAATCAAGGAACAGCAAGTTTTTAAAGAATAAAACCTTTACTCGCCACCATGTCTACATTGGATGATCAGACGCATTGGCTAGATGTAGCGTAGTGGTTACGAATCGGGCTGTAAACCTCAAGGTCAGCAGTTCGAAACTACCAGCTGCTCCGCGGGAGAAAGATGAGGCTTTCTACTCCCGTAAAGATTTACACCCTCGGAAACCCTGTACAGGGTCGCTATGAGTCGGTTCCGACTCCACGGCACATAACAACAACAACAACAAGCCTTTAGGTAATTTGATTGGCATTTAATTCTCAAGTAGCATGTGGTCCAGCAACTATCGAGGGTCAGGATCTTATCCCTAATCACACCAGTGACTTCTACAGGAACATAGGGCAAGTTATCGCCTACCTTGCTTCATTTTTAATACTTACACTACGTATTTTTAGAAGACATTGAAATACTCTAGGAAATGGATATTCTACCTCTAGAATGGTTGGCAAAGGTAAAATAATAAATTTATACAACTAGCTCAAGATAAAGTATATAAATACACCCAGAAATTTGTTTTTGAATAACAAACCCACTAAAAACTTATGATGGAAGTTAAATCCAGGCACATTTTAAAGTTTCTCTATAGTATTCAGAAGTCTGTATCTCCATTGGTTCCTTTGGTCACAAGTGGCCATGGACCAGTAGTCGAGATTTTTTTCTGTTCTCTTCCACCTGAGACATAGAACCAGGTAGAAGAACCTTTATATCATTGAAAAATAACAAGCAAAAACAAAATAAAATAAAATAAAACTAGTAGATGAGTTACCTACAAAGTTCTCCTTCATTTCCTCCTTCACCTCAATTTTCTAAGTTGACACTGAACATCCAGTTCTGACTCCACTAAGCATTATTTTTTTAAAAATGAAGAAAATCTATTGTTATTGTGCTTTGTGAATCTGAGATACACTAGCAAGTTGTAGGAATTAGGACTATCATACAAACACACAAACAAAACATTGCATTTTAGTTGTAGAAGCCAGGAGATGAAATCCTCTTGTCTAAATAAGCCAACTGACTTAGAAACAAATAAATTATCTCAGAATGTATAGACCTGGTGCTAGAGAAGAGTATCATGATCATCACCATTTTGTAGTGTTCATAAAATTTACATTTTTGGAACCATTGTTAACGTCCTGTTTTTCAGATCCAGAAACAGTGTTTGTTAATACCATGAAGATTTGGCCAGGTGAAATCTGAGTGAGTTTTGACTCAGTATTGCCAATTTTTACCTCGTTTATAAAACAGAATCAACTTGACAAAATGTAATGTCTAGTATGGAAAGGAACTGTTAACGGCCAAACAAAACATTGACTTTCCCCCCCCCCCCTTTCCCTTTTTCATTCTTTTGTATATTTAAAAATCCAATGTTGATATGCTGTGTTCCACCTATTTTTGTAGTAATAGTACATACCACCCACAGTTCCCTAGTTATATATTTTTATTCTTGTCAAATTGTTACACAGAAAAGGCATTTTTAGAATGAACGTTTATAGAAATCCTAACACCAGAAAATTCACATTTGTGTTGGAGAATTGCTAGCGATGCCCGCAGTGGAGTAAGTGTGGTGCTTCCAAGATGGTAATAAGGATGGAGGTTGCGTCCCTGGGGTTTGCTATAAAATCCAATTAAGCATCTGAATGGTAACAAAGTGCACCAACACTGTAGTTTCTAAAGAATCTCACTGGCAGATCTCACCCCGGGCAGAGTAATAGCCTCAGAGTAGTTTTCTACTGGTTTGTTATTACCACCCTTTTATGGCTCTCATCTCCCCTTTTGTGCTCTTTGCCTACTTTCACTTCCGTTTTAGCTCAAATCCTTCTCAGCAACTGTCTGATGTCTGCCCAGGACTCCCCACCACAGCCTTCACACCCACCCCAAAACAAAACTAAATAGTTTTGTGCCTAGTCCCACTAGACCCATATCCTCTGGGGTCCTTTGAAGAGACAGGTAGTCGTATAATTGTTCCTAATGCATATCCTCCTCAGGAGAGCCAGCATGTACCTACCCCGCTCTTGCATGGAAGGCACTACCTCTGCAACAATTGTCAGTGACTGAATGATACGTATAAAATTTGACTAATGACCATTGAACACCCTCATTGGGCAAGCTACACTCTGAGGAATGCAAAGATGACTGCAATACCATTACTGTCGACCTCAAGCAGAGGTCAACAAACTCTTTCTGTAAAGGGCCAGATAATAAATATTTGAAGCTCTACAAGCCATAGGGGTTCTGTCACAGCTATTTAACTCCATGCCGTTAGAGTGCAAAAGCAACCAGAGACAGTTTTTGAATGAATGAGCATGGCCGTGTGTTCCAACAAAACTTTATTTACAAAAGCAGATGGCAGATTGTCCATGGGCCTTAATTCGCTGACCTTTTATTGCAATATTCTTGACCCTTCTTTTCTGGTCTGTTTCTGAAAATCAAGCAGCAAAACAGTGAAAGGTGGTGGTTAGAAGGGCCATTTGGTCACTTGTAAAGTAGTGACTAGAAGGTAAACTGTCAAGATTTACTGGCATACATGGAATGGCCATCAAGAAGAGTGTAGATTGTACAGCTAATGGAATTCTAAACTTTTACATGGATACAGGACTAAGCAAAACTGTTTCGGTGTTAAAAGAGCAGGGAAATGCCCCACAGCATCTAAATATGTTGTTTAGAAATGTACCAAGAGTAGTCAAAATACAAGTTACCTTATCCTCTAATCTCATCACCACTTTAAAAAAGCACAAAGTTTATGTGAGTGCCATTAAAATTGAAGTTCATGATTATAAGAAAACTTGACAGAGCTAGAGAAGAGGATTAGAAGAGGAAAGGGAAGAGAAAGATAAGTACAAAGAGCAATTTTCTCTAGTCTAAAACCAACTGCCACCAAGTCAGTTCAGACTCATGGTATCACCCTATACTTGTCAGAGTAGAATTGTGCTCCATTATGAATTTTTCAGCGACTCATTATTTGGAGCTCTGGTAACGTAGTTGTTACGAATTGGGCTGTGAACCACAAGGTCAGCAGCTCGAAACTACCAGCTGTTCCATGGGAGAAAGATGAAGATCTCTGCTCCTGTAAAGACCACAGCCTCGGAAACCCTGTATAAGGTCGCTATGAGTCGGAACCGACTATACGGCACTTAACAACAACAACATTATTTGGAAGTAGACCACCATACCTTTCTTCCAAGGTACTTCTGGGTGAATTCAAACTCCCAACCTTTTGTTTAGCAGCCAAATGTGTTAACCACTTGCACTGCGTAGGGATTTCTGTTCTGTAGGCACTGAAGTGAAATTAAAGTATGTTTGAACAAGTAAGTTACAGGATCACAACTGCGTTTACTACTAAGATGGAAGGTGTAGTAGAAAGTTGAAATTGAGGGTAGAGAAATGAGAACTAGCAGAAATTACATTGTAATTCCATGGTAATCATTCTGCTCTGTTCCTCGCAGAAAATCTCTTTGCTTGCCTGCCACCACTAACATCAAACCATTAGGGTGGGAGTGGTGCAGGTGGGCAGTGCTGGCTTCACTTGCTCATCATACTCCTTCCCATGGCTACCTGCCTAGTGTTCCTTCTGTCTTAAGCCTCATTCTCAGGAACATGTCAGTTAGCACTGCTACAACTGTCTTCATTTCAGAGTAGTCCCTAGGCAGAGCTTGAAGCAATGCTTGCCTGCCACCTGGAAAAGTCACAGTGATTTCTGTTTCCAGCAGATGTTCTTGGGGATCAAGGACTGAGAGATTTTCGTATGTCTCAGCAATCGGGGCTGGAGACGTTCACATTTTATTAAATATCTTACTATAACAGATACACGGGAGAGTTGATGATTGATAGATAGAGTAGTAATAAGCCTTTATAGTTACTTCGTTAACACTTTACACTTATAAATCACTTTTGAATATGCACTCTTATTTAAGTCTTACATTCCTCTAACGAAGACATTTGTGTCCCACTTTATAGATTGGAAACATACATTCTTACTCCAAGCATCATACTCTTCACCAAAATACTAGATATATAATGCTTTGTATTCATGTTACTATTACATATGAGCACTTAATGGCATAATATATGCAGTGTTTCACACAGAATAGTACATAAGATTTTAATAAATCTAACTTGTTATTGATGTTGTTGTTGTTAAGTGCTGTGAGTTGGCTGTGACTTATAGTGAACCTGTATAGGATTTCTGAAGAACTACTAGTGAGTTTGAACAACCAACCTCGAGGTTCAAACTGACTTTGAGGTCCAGTGCTTATCTTACAGTACCACACCAGTTGTAGAAGATTCAGGGGTCATATCCATTTTTTTTCACAGCCAGGAATAGATAGGAAATCAGACTACAGTTCCCAATCTTTGGTATTTTGCTTACCTGACCCCAAATTCAGATCATTCCATTAGGGCACAGTTACAAATAAACACACACAAAAAAGGTTCACCCTACTGTGTCTAAATGGTGAGAAGATATAAATTTCATGATTTTTAAAGAGTAATTTTGGCACTGAGACAGATGCATAAATCTGTACATATTCTAGAGTATTCACTATAGAATCTTGTTACGAGAAATGGTAAAACATTAAAAACTCTTTCACAAGCCACAGGTAATGATTACATGCCAGCCCTTCATAGGTGGAAAAAGGTAGTCGAGATGCTTGCCAGGGGTTGCCTGCAGGTCACAGGTGTGAAAAACGCATTAGCAGGCTTAGATTTCCTCACACAGGCTTGCATTCGCTTTTATATGAATCTTTCAGCCGTATTAGAGTCTTGTTTATTTCGAGGCTAGTTTATGTGTTGGTTAAAATTGTGGCTGTGAGATTGCCTGAAACAATACCAGCAGCTGAGCTACTCTGCCCACGGTTTACTACAGATTCATTGTTCTTTATTTATAGAGCTGTTGCCTCCCAGTGATGGATGGACAGAGAGTGAAGTACCACCTTCACCACCACCACATCCTGGTCTGGAATTGGGCCTTGAAGATTATAGCCACAGGTATCAATAAAATGATATATCGTAAATATTCCCTGTTATGTTTTTTTCGGGGAAAACCCAGCAACCTTATTTTAGTTCTTGTTTCTTTCCAGAATGGACACCTCATGATATCTATAATTCCTTTCTAGTGAAGGCTTCTCATAGCTAATAGCTTAGATGGTTCATATTTTGTATCTAATGCTTACTAGGATGGGTCTTAATTATCCACGTCTCTGTCCCTTCAACAGGACAATACAATCCTTGAAGGCAGAGATGCCTTCTAACCCATTGTTGTTGTTGTTGTTGAGTGCTGTCTAGTTGATTCCGACCCATAATGACCCCTGTATAGGGTTTCCAAGGAGCAGCTGGTGAGCTTGAACCACCAACCTTGCTGTTCAAATGACTTTGTAGTCTGATGCATTAGCCAGCCACAGCACCACACCAGGACTCCTTCTAACTCGTTGTTGTTGTTGTTGTTAAATGCTGGTGAGTCGAGTCTGACCCATAGTGACCCTGTATAGGGTTTCCAAGGAGCAGCTGTTGATCTTGAACCACTAACCTACAGTTCAAATGACTTTGCAGCCTGGTGCATTAGCCCACAGTGCCACACCAGCACTCCTCTAGCCCATTGTTGTTGTTGTTGTTGTTGTTAAGTGCTATCGAGTCAGTTCTGATGCATAGCCACCCTATCTATATAGGGTTTCCGAAAAAGCAGTTGGTGAGCTTGAACCACTGACCTTGCAGTTCAAACGGCTTTGCAGTCTGGCACATTAACCCATAACGCCACACCAGGTCTAAGTACCTTAAAAGTGGAATTTGCTTAGACTTATCTTATAATACTAAAATACTTGAGAAAAATTTTGGAATTTTCTTTTACAAGTTAAAAAACTGGAGCAGTAAAACTCAAAGTAACATTATTTGGGAAAGTTATAAACAAAACTGAGAAAATATAAAGCTTAGGCATTTCCCTCTCCCTTTTTCTAATTGGTATACACTAAAGGTATTATAAAAACAGATGTACCAAGAAAGTTTTTGGAATCTAACTATTAAAGCAACACTATATATAATCTAAAATATTGAAAGAGATACCCAGTGTTGTATCCATTCTGTAATAGAAACTAAAGAATCAATAATTTTTAGAATCACACAAGCATGCAAAAGAGATTTGCTATGCATGCACATCGTTTGACTAGTGGAATTAATAGATTTTGTTGTTCTGATGAGTTTCAAAAATCATTAAATTGTGCCTTTGCTATTTTCTGTATTTATTATTGCTGCTAAAAGCGGTGTATTTTATTCCATTCTTTCTACCATGATAATCCTATGAAATTTCTTTATTTTTCTCTTAGCTATGCTTATGTCATGCCTATTATGGTTTTAAATAAAATCCACTAAAAATAAAGCAGCACAAGAACATAGCTAACTCTATTGGATAGAAGCTCACCTGTATTTAGCCATCTCTGTCTCCTTTATTTTTGAAGTCAATTGTCTTACTTAAACATAATTTCATCAACTATACTGGTAATCATAATAATGGTCTAGATCAGTATCTAGGAGTTTCTTAAAGAAAATGTGGACATAATCCATGTTCATTTATTTCTATTGCCTGCCTGTGGGTCTTGGATCAAAAATAACACCTCAATGGCATTCATAAACACCCACTTAAATAAATAATTGCATTGGTTCTACTTTATAGATAATGTTGTATATATGCACAAAGCCACTGGGATTGTACAAAGATGAAGCAGATATCACCTTTTGTCCCCTAGAGGTGGGTAGGCTGATGAGTCACAGTGGTAACTAAAACAATATTGTTGTTGTTGTCGTCAAGTGCCAAAGTTGTATCAAGTCGATGCCAAACCATAGCAACCCTGTATAAGGTTTCCAAGGAGCAGCTGATGAGCTTGAACCACCGACCTTGCAGTTCAAATGGCTTTGCAGTCTGGTGCATTAACCCAGAATGCCACACCAGGACTCCAAATTATTACAGTGAGACAGTTCAAATTATTACTTCAAATTATTACTGTGAGACAAATTGAAACAATACCAGAAACGAAGACATTCTGCCCATTGCTTACTACAGCTTCATTTGTTCTTTATTTGTAGAGCTTTGTTTACCAGAATATCTTAGTAAAGTTCTCTCAGGATCTGAGGCAAAGGAGATGCTTCTAGATGGAGACATAAGGGAAACATTGTGAGCAGAGTAGCACTTGAGCTAAATCTTAAAAGATAGCTAGAAGCTAGACATTATATAAGACTAGGAAAAACGGGAATTTCAGAAAAAGGGAAGAACAGAATAAACGGCATGGAGATAAACTAAGTTGATATGGGTAACTTGTCTCATGTCCAGATGACAAAGCCCAGAGTGCAAGGAAAGGGAATACGCTTCATTTGGTAGACAGTGAATTCTTATGGTAGGGTTTTGTTTTGTTTTTAATGTTTTATTGTGAATTATGTGATAATTTACATGGGAGAACATTAGCTTTACATTTATCCTTCATCCTATCATGTATCATTTCATTGCCATGATTACAGTCCCCTCCATGCATCATCAACCAACCAAAGGGTATATCCTGCCAGCCTGCCCCCACCCCCACCCCCGGGTCTTCCCATCAGCACACAACCCCTCGCCCTCTCTGAGTCTAAAGTCCCCAGCCTCTCCATCTCTCCACGTCATCATCTCTGTGTCCAACTCTGGTGTCACTGCTTTTCTGGGTTTATGGTAAGGTTTTGAGTAAGCAGTAGATACAACTGAAACTGATTTTAGTTGTATATATCATGGATTCCATAAAGGGAGGAGGGCTGATATCTACTAGAAACATAAGACTCTGAAACTCATTAATACCTACTGTGACAATTGCAGGGAGAGGTTTTTGAGAACCTATGCTAGGGAAGCTTACAGATGGGAAACCTCTAAGTGAGAGAACTAATTCAGAGAGAGTGCAAAGATGGGATTATTAGAATTTAGCAACTGCCTTTTTTGACCACTTTAATCTACAGCTGGACAGATCTCTCCCCTTTCTTCTTTAACAAAGCACATTCCCTCATGATCTTGAAAGAAATCTTACATTGGCCCTCACTCCTGTGAATTTTCATTTTGTGGTGCAAACTTCTAACTTCCATGTTCTTTTTACCCTCTTCTTCATTAATCCCCTGTGTTTAATCTTCTCTTCAAACCACTCTACTGGAATTATTTTCTTAAAGGTCAACAGTAATCTTCTTTCAGTCAAAAGTATGGCATTTTCTCTGATTTTATTCTTCTTTTCTACTTTACTGTATTTGGGCATTAGGTCATTCATTCACACATTTGTCCATTCAAAAGTATGTATACATCTCTGAGCCATTAGAGTGTTCAAAGCACTCTAATGGGATAGAAGGCATACCTGCCTTCAAGGAATGCATTTCCTGTTGAAGGGACAGACACAAGGATAATTAAGATTCATCCTACTATTGAAGTCCTGGTGTGGCACTGTAGGGTAAGCTCTAGACCGCAATGTCAGTTTGAACCTTAAGGTCAGTGGTTCAAACTCATCAGCCACTCCTTGAAAACCCTATACAGGGTCACTATGAGTCAGAAACAGCTCGACAGCACTTAACAACAACAACTAAGCCTTAGATATAAAATATCATGAGAAACCAGAGGAAGGAGCAATTCACTCTGCCAGCAAGGGTCAAGAAATGTTTCAGAGGAGACGTGGATTTTGATCTGTGTCTTGGAGAATGGCAAAGAGCTTTCTGAGCAAAGAAGTAAAGGAAAGAACATTGTAGATAAAGCATAAACATCTAGGGGAAGAATCTATGGGAAGTACTTTGCCATTTCCAGTGAGCACCAGGCTTTTTCAGAGAGCAGTGAACAAGCATGACAGTTTCAAATTCCAAAGTAATCCTATCAGATTGAGAAGAATTCACACAATGGAGGATGGAGTGGATGGGAAGAAGCCTGAGACAAGGAGACCAAGTAGAATGAGTAACTAGCAAGAGAAGATCACAAATAGAGAAGCAGCATGGATGAGCAGAAAGGAACAGAGCCAAAAGACATTTTTAAGATGCAATGAACAAGTTGAATGCCATGAATTTCTCTCCCTCCTGGGATTCTGTGACCTACAGTATCCTGCAGCCTGCTGCGTTGCTAGGTGACCAGCAGCAGCAGGGTTGGGATGTGTGAATTTGGGGATGGAAGAAGGATTGAGAAGGAGGGTTGAGTAAAGGAGGCTTATTTGTATTTCAGAAGAAATGAGAAACACTCTAAATGGGAAAAGTGGTGCTTTAGGGACACGGACAGCCTTGTAAAACAGAATGCTCTTATTGCATGAGGAATGCAAAACAAATTTGAGCAAACTTAATGCCTGTGTTTTGAACCAAGAGGAAATCATTAGTTGTACTATTTTATAAACACTTTTTTAGTTGTACTATTATGTAAATAATTATGAGAGAAAGAAAGGTTTAGAATATGTGTCTAGATATAAATCATAAATATAAAGGAAATATATTTTACTGTGAAATCTCAGACTGAGTTTAAGACAACTCATCAACTGACAGGATATATTGACTTCTATGAATAGTTTAGACAGCAATTGATCATTCTTTGCCTATATCTTTTACTTCCTGATTCTCTCTATAGATCTATATTTATATTTACATCATACATACATACATACATACATATATATATACACATACA